CCAGGCTACACAGCTCATCAGTGGGAGAAAAGCTGAAACTCACCTGCGGTTGCTTGAGGCTGCTGCTGCTGCTTGTGTGTGTGGAATGATCCTCTGCTAGTGTAACTCTGTCTTTATTTTACTTGCTTCTGCTGTTCTTATGCAAGGGAATGTTCTTCCTGCGCTTTACTACTTTAAGATCTGCTGCTTGCTGTACCTGTAGACCTAAACTGTTGCTTTTATTTTTGTCCATAGAACCTCTAAATAAAGCTCTGATCTTGTAGAGGATAAGTAACTCATATTTGCCAGTAACTATAGATTTTTCCAGCAGCACAGTGAAATCCTACTGGCTTCTCCCAAAACTTGCAGTATTGGTAAAATTCATACTCTTAGAAAAAGCAGAGGGTACCCAGTGTGCGATGTGACTTGTTCTTTCGTCACTGAGCAACAGGAGGATGGTTTTCTTACCTTTCTGCCCACTTGCCGATGAGCGGGCTTGTTTCAGCAGTCGCAATCTGTAGAGGTGAAACCAAGCGGCTCAAAGTTAGGTGGGTAAATGCTGTCTATGAATAAGGGCGCCGAGATGGTGTGGAGAAATGGAATTTCTGACTGGGGGTACAGCTAGTGACCTTAATAACACAGCTGGAAGTAGAGCATGCGAATCCTGACATGCAGTCTTCTGCTCTAGTCACTCTTCCTAACTTGACAAATTCTTTGCTTTGCCTTGTCAGTGCTTGGATTGCAACGGCGCTGGACATGGGAAGATGTTATTCTGCCACTTAGTTGATAAAATAAGTTCTTCAGTGAAATGCTCTGGTCATGATATGTGTTCACATGGTTCAAGGAGTGATTGTACATATGAGCGATTTGACTTGGGGCTGCTTATTTCTAACGCTTTTGATTTAGAGAACATAGTGGTCGCGCATGCCTGACCATCGAAGAATGGCAAAGTCCCCTCTAGCTACTGCATGGATGATGTGCTCTTTGTATAGGGCTTTGCTTTCTTCTTTGTTGCAGCTGGCCCGGATTCAGACCGACAGCGTAGTCGAGATGCTCCGTGAGCTATACCCCAACCTCCGCTTTGAGATTGGTAAGTTTTTTTGGATGCTGCCCTGGGGTAGACCGCAGCAGGAGCCAGCCGCTTATCTTTGTGTGCAAGAGGTGTTTGTAGAGTGCTGTCAGGAGGAGGAGGATTCGACCCCGCTTATCTAAGAGTGCTGTCTGAATTCGGTTAGGTTGTGTGGCTGAGCAACTGCTGCTGGTTTCTTCTAGGGGAGAAAGGTGGATTTCATAAGCTCCTGATGATTGAAGCTCTGAGTATGTCATGCAGATGGTGTTATGTTGCTCCATTGGAGAACCTGGTATTGCTCTGGCCGCACCCCACTATGCATTAGGGACATTTTCCTGTCGGGGGCTTGAGGCATTCAACAGCATAGGAATAATGGGAGCCCAGGCTTGTACTGAAGAGAACTGCTGAGTACCTGTTCACTGGCACTCCAGAGAAAGACCATGGCAATTTCCGTTGGGTCAGCTCTTCCCAAAACCTGCCCTCTTTCCCCTCGCTCTGTTTTTGAGGACAGTGAAGGAAGTCTCAATTTCACTTGTCTTGAGCACAGTGTATTTCTAGAAGTGAGCTGGTCTTATATTTAATTTGAGTCTGTGTTCATACAGCAGCGTGTGACGCTGTACTGCTCGTTACATATTATGTTGATATTTCCAGTTTAGGCCTACATGCTCTGACCAAGCCTCACGTTTTACTTATGCTCTTTCTCCGAGCAGTTGCCATGTCAACGACCGGAGACAAGATCTTGGATACAGCACTTTCTAAGGTAAAGGTTCTCTTCTTTCTCTACACAAGAAGTAATTGTATTTGATGATATATTTGCAGATTTTTTTTTTGTGATTCGTGTTCCTCCATTTATGTGTAGATTGGGGAGAAGAGCCTCTTCACCAAAGAGCTGGAAAATGCACTTGAAAGAAATGAGTAAGAGCTCATTGTTTTCTCTTCCTCTTTTGGCGTTTGTGGTGCTCTTTGGACGTCTTTGGCTTGCTGCGTATGTCATCTAGTTTCCTTCTGTTCTGGTACCTCTCTGACTAAGAAATCCTTTAATAAGTCATTGCCTTTTTCTCGGGCCCCCCCCCCCCCTTATATACGTGACTTAGGCGACGTATTTTGAAGTGGAGTTGTTGTGTCGCTTGGTCTGCCCCAGTTAGGTTTCCTTTCTCCTGTGATTTGTGTGTTACATGCGCATCAGAGAGGATGTAATCTAATCCAATTCCTGCTAACAAGTATGTTCTTTTAAAAATACTTTGCTTGGTGGTGTTAACATATTGCACAACATATTTAGTGTTATCATGTTAACATTTATTAACTAATTTGCATGCTAAATATCCAGGAGAACTGGGCATGGGCAAGTTGTACTGCTTTCTGGGTAACTTCTTTCTACAGAAAAACTTGGTTCAGGCTCCTGCTGGAGCAGAGAGAGATAAGTGCTTCCCCCCGCCCCAGTATTCCCAGGAGGGTTTCAGTGGTGCTTATGCCTCAGTTAAAGTAGGCTTAAGAACAAAGATATTCTTCTGCATCTCTGACACGTAGGCACGTGATAGTGCATTTTTGAGTAAAGTCGGTGAAAAAATACTGGAGACTCAAGCATTTACAATGCTGTTCGTTGGCCTCGTAACGAAGCAGCTAGCATTTACTTTAGCTAGCTATTATTTTCAGTTTGAAGCGTAATACCAGACAACGTACTGGTTGCATATTGGTACAATGAGTCTCTCCGTGTGAATGTCTCCAGCGCCTTCCCCTCATTCAACCTGATTGTTGTAATGTGTTTTGCATCGCTGCTGGGAGGAAGGCATTGTCTTAATTTTGCAGGAGGGAAAAGAGAGACAGAGAAGGGTGAAGTGGCTTTTCTGGAGTGACGCTAGAATTCTATAGTAATTCTAGCAATAGAATCCTGAAATTCCTCTCTCTCCTCCAAATTAATTCCCAGGGTGGAATCACGCTTTTCTGTAGATGACCTGCAGGGCTCTGGTAGGTACCGCATGAGCTCAGCCATCTGTTCAGTGATTAGTGTCTCTAATTTTTAGAGTTGACCTCGTGGTTCACTCCTTGAAGGACCTGCCAACTTCTCTTCCTCCTGGCTTTACCATCGGCGCAGTCTGCAAGTAAGTGTGGACGCGAGGCTTGATTCTCCAAGTGATTTGTATTTTACAGTGTTGGTATTGGTGGGAAAGCAAAGGCAGCTTAGGTCCTTTTAGGTGTTCAAAGTTTGCCCACCCTCTGATTAATCTCTGAAACAGTGGAAACACTAGAGCTGTCCTAGTGTTCTGTAACCAGCAGGTTTGCTGGAAGTGCTTGCATTTACAATGATGATGGGGTATTTTGGAGCCAGAAGCAGTTCCTCTGGGGACTGATAGCAGAACTGTTAAGCTTAACAGCCTTCCATTAAATGATGTGTCAGCCATCCTGCGCTTGCATTATTTTGCAGAAGGGAAAACCCACTTGATGCTGTTGTCTTTCATCCCAAAAACTGTGGAAAAACACTGAGCCTCCTTCCTGAAAAGAGGTGAGTAGGGAGAGGAAGGGGAAGACAGTCAGATGTAAAAATGGAAGGGAGGGGTTGGTTGATGCTTCCCAGTGGCAAGTCAATGAGCTCCTTTCTTTATCTTATAGTGGTTTTACACTGCCTTCCGCTAGCTTTCCATAGGCATTGTACTGAACCCGCTTGCTGAAAAGAGCAATGCTGTCTTATGGGAGTGCTGCACACTGAGGTTGGATCTCTCGAGCCACCCTTGCATTGCAATGTTTTCTCAAGTTAGACCCTTTCTTAACACAGTCTCTAGAGTGAATTCTTGCTCCTTTGTATAGCCCTTACTGCAGGGGAATGCATACAATGCAGACAGGGTGTCTGGTGCAGTATTTTAGCTCGCATGGGCCTGAACTATGCTCTTGTTCTCACCCAGCCAGTTATGATTTCTTCGTTGTTTTTTTTTAGCATTGCTTTCTTACGGTTCTGCTGGGAGCATGAGCAGTTGCTCAATTTTGAATGACCTGCCTTTTCATAGAGGTTATTGGAGTCTTTTGTCTGAGACAGCTGAGTCAAATTACTCAGATTGAGATAACTATTAGAAAGATTTTTTTTTTTTTCCCCCTATGTTAAAGTAAAAGAAGCAAACTAGCTGTGACGCAAACGTAGACTCACGCTTCTGCGCATCTGGATAGCAGGAAAATTGCGTCTGGTTTAGGTTCCAGGGTACCAAGAAAAGTGAGTAGCTTGCATCTCTAGAAAGGAAATGCATACTTCCCAGACCGGTAGTTTTCTGTGGTTTCCGGTTATGGATCCTACTGTTTCCAAAGGTTCTCCTCCCACTGCATTTCTATCATTGATGAAGTCCCTCCATTTTAGTAACTTCAGTTGTCTGGCTACGTCTGGTTCAGTTTGGAGCAGCCGAGTCTTTTTTTTTCTGTGACAAGTGTTGTGGTCTTTAAATGAGGTTTCATCAGTCCTTGATGGTGGCTAGGGGCTGCCCTCCAGAAGCATCTCCTGTAAATCGGTTCCTTGGGAGTGGCTTGCCTGCATCTAGCTTCAGCCAGGCTTTATGTTAAACCTCACAGCATGGTTTTCTTTCTTCTAAGGAGATATAAATCATCGGCTGGTTCTTGAATCTTCATTTCAATGGAGGGGAAAAAAAAAAAAGTCTCTTGTTTCCTTGAAAGTTCTGACATATCTCTGGCTGGAGGCAAGTGTAGGAGTATTCTGGATTTCATTGATTTTTATTTTCCCCACAGTGTGATTGGAACCAGTTCACTTCGGAGAGCAGCACAGCTCAAAAAGAAGTTCCCTCAGTTAGAATTCAGGGATATTGTATCCTTTCCTGGCAAAATGTGGGAGCTGGGTAAAGCTGCAAACAGGAAGATGTAACTTAATATGAAACCTAGAATCAAGGCTGATTTATACCACCTGGCCTACAAGAACCAGCTTCCTCAAAGGCTGCCCTCCACTAACCTATTCTGAGAGGGTTGTATAGCATACCATAGCCCATTCTGTCCTCTATTTTTTCACGAGGCTGTAAAGAAGGGGCCAGCCTTAATCTAGCTGAGATTCAGGATGCAGATGAATTTTTTTAAGGACTGGTTAAAAAACTGCTTGCTGGGTGCCTACTGTGTCTTTATCACAGTGGTGTGGCCAAATGCCAATTGGTTCCCAATACCCCAGATACGATTTGGGCCACTAGTTCCAATGTGGGCTGCTGAACTAGTGGTAAAAGGCACCATTGCTTCAGTCCTAGTAACCTAGTTCTTTGGTATGCAAAAGGAGTTGGTGTCACGTGTTAATAATGTACTTAAATGACATGCATATCTTTTGAGAGTCAGTGCTTGAATTAATATCCCATAATGCTTGGCAAAATTCTATTTAAAGAAACAATTGTCCATATTTAACACTTCTTTCAGGATGGTACCTGACTGATTCTCATTGGAGGCTGTTGGATTCTGTATGTTCTGTAAACACACTCAAGCGAATGTTAAGTGGTTAAGGGACTGTTTGCCTGCTGTTTCTATGCTTGCTTAATCACTTCTACAGAGAGGGAATTTAAACACCCGCTTAAAGAAGCTAGATGAGAAGGAAGACTTCAGTGCCATCATCCTGGCTGCTGCTGGGCTGAAGAGAATGGGTTGGGAGAATCGCATTGGCCAGGTGAGGAGCAGCAAAGCAGAAAATACCATTCTCTGCCGAACCATCAACTGCTTGCCTTTCAGACCTTGCAGTTGTCCTGTCAAAGATGAGCACGCAGTCTGCTGAATCCATTGCCACGTCAGCACGTGAATCTATGTGCTTCAGGGAGGACTTTTTTTTTTTGGTTGGTTGGTCGTTTTTATTTTCTTTGTACAGAAGTTTATACTGTTCAGCTTTCCGTGGTGCAGTAACAGTTCGTAATCTGATCATCTCCCAGCATTTCACAGTACTTGTCTAGCAACGCAGCAGTGCGCACGACTAAGATTTTTCTGATTAGCTAATTCACGAAGCGTTACAGTCCAGGTGAAGGAAAGTGCATTATCTCACTTTAGGGGTGGGAACACTGAGGCATGGGAAGCGGGAGGTGATACTTCTTTGGTCAGGCACAAAATCAATTTATGTTAGAGGTGAGCATAGAATTTGGCTCTTGCTTCCTATATTCTGAACAGTGCAACTTGAGTTAACTCTGATATTACTTTCTTCCAGCTCCTAAGCCCTGAAGATTGTCTGTATGCTGTTGGACAGGTAAGTTACAACTTTTAAATCTTAAGCCGTGCTACGTTTTGAAAGCCGGCAGTGGTACGATGTGTCAGAGTAGTTAATTGTGCCGAATACTTCTTGTGTGTTGATTGCCAAAGAACTACTACATCGATCTCTTTTGTTGGCTGTTACACTGTTTTAGGCACAGCTTGTGGGAAGAATGGAAGTCAGCTCTGTTACCCAGTGTGGTGGGGGCTGATTTCCATTGGTAATGGAAAAATAGTAAAAGGTAAAGGTAACGTGTGGCAGAACTACACTGGGGCGACGTGGCAGATGCGGAGCAGGCTCTGGCAGGGTCAGTGTTGTGCTGTACTGGGATAATTGTGCGGAGCCAGCACAGTATCTTTGTCCTGTTGTCCTAACTCCCGTAGGGTGGAGCTGAAACACCTGCCTTGGAGCACATTCTCAGTGCTTTTGTTTCTAGGCAGGCAAACCGTTCCAGCCCATGCTGGCCGTGTGGCTGAGTTTACACAGTGCTGCACAGTGGGTGTCAAACTTGCTAAACCCGAGCTGGCTATGCATTAGGGATTGCGAGTGACAAATCTGCAAATGCAGTCTGAAATAGTGATTTTGATCATGCGTTTGTCAGGTACTGTGCAGTTCCTTTTTTTTTTTTTTTTTTTTTTTTTTTTTCTTCTCCAATTTCGTTTCCCTTTGTCACTGTTGTGGGAAGACACATAATGAGCGATCCAAACTAGGCAGCTGCAGGCTGTGCTAAGCTTGAAGGTCGTTTACAGAGATAGGGAAGTCTTGAGAAACTGAGTACTTGGCAAGAAATCAAAGAAGTTGGACTGAAAAGCAGGTAAAAGAGGATGTCAGCAAGGATGCAGATGTTACAGAACGAAGGCGCGTGGACAGAAGGCTAGCACAAATCATAGCTGAGTTACAAGCGTGTGAATTATAGCGATAGCCTATGGGAGCTGTGTGTTGGGGGGGCGTGCTTATGACAACTACGTATAAATTGAAGTAAAGCTGCGTAATAAAGTGGCATTAATGCGATCATATTGATTGAATGCGTTGTGTCCGTGACTTCCGCGTCACACTGTTACTCATTCAACGCTTGAATCTTGATCTTTATCTTGAAAAGGTTGGGAAGCTTGGATTTATCCAGCCTTCTTGTCACAAAGGGACATTGGGGTGGGTGTTTCTATATATGCAGTCATAACTGAGATAGGTTCTAGAATGGTTTGAGGTGACGGCGTGATCTTGAACAAGTAAGTTAGTTCTGATCTTCCCTTTACAGCAGCTGCTATAGGATGTCTCTGCAACCAGTGGATTGTTTTGTGATTCATTTCTGTAAATGTCTAAACATCGCTCCCTTAGTGAAATGCATCCGAGCCTCTGAGTTCTATTTCATGACCAATGCTGAGTGCACCCAGAGATGCGTGAAGTTGAGGAATTATTATGATTATGTTGTGTGTTTCTTTCTCTTGTTCTTCTTATAGGGTGCCTTAGCAGTGGAAGTTCGTGCCAAAGACCAAGAGATACTGAATATGGTATCTGCCCTGCAGGATGCAGACACCGTGTTATGCTGCATTGCTGAGAGAGCCTTTATGAAACGTTTGGTAGGTGTGGCATCCTTGCTCTTCTGCCTGCAGCAGTAAATACTGCTCTGCTAGTTGACCTGACGCCATAGTACGGGAAATCTGTTACACTTTCCTAAAACTGCGAAATAGAGATTACTTCTGAATCGAGAACGGCCTGAAGAGCGATAGGCGGGGTTGTGTGCAACCTAAACTTTTCAGAGGCCTCTGCTTTGAATGTGTCGGGTAGGAGCCTCAGTGTCACCTGCTTTCTGTTTTAGGAGGGTGGATGTAGTGTCCCTGTTGCCGTCAACAGCATGCTGAAAGATGGCCAGGTGAGGAGTAGTTTGTGTTTATCTGCGATTATTTCTGAAAACCTATTCCAGTGCATGCGTGTTCCCTGATCCTTCCCTGAAGGTAACTCCGGCAGGTATCTCTATAGCAAATTAGGGCAGATAGGCTCCTGTCTCAAGCCTTCCAGGTTTGTGTGCAAAGCAGGAGTATGAGAATTGGTCTGGCTACTGAAGCTCAGTCTAGTAGAAAATGCCCTTACTATAAGTACCAGATTTCCTCCCACCCTTCTTTAAAGATCGTGTTGCCCTGAGATCTGAAAGTCTCTCTTCTGACCCCAGAAAATCAGTGGTTTTGCACACGGAGTGTGATTAAGGAGGTGGGAAGCTAGAAAAAAGATCAGCTTTTTCTTTGGGAGGTCGCATCTTCCCTAACAGGAATTACTTTTCTTCCAGTTGTATTGTACCACTATTCTTGCTGATCCCACTGCACTACAAAAGCCTTCCCCTCCAGACTTAGCTTCGTATGTTGCGTGTTCTTATTAAAAAAGGGTGTAGTTGGCTTTCTGTTTGTTTAACACGGTATTAATCCCTTCTGTATGTCTTTCCAAGTTGTATTTGACAGGAGCAGTCTACAGTTTGGATGGATCTGATAGCCTGAGGGAGACTATGCAGACCAGTGTTAATTATCCCCCACAGGTATGTGAACCACGGTGGGTTCAAAATCCAAACCTGAAGCTGAATGACAAAACCAGACCTTTTGAAATCTGGCTATTACTTTTAGTCTGGTTCCTTGGAAACTGTAACAGCGCACTGTTCTCGAGGCTCCTCAGACCACAGATTTTACCCCATTTCACATTTGGCTTAAACTATTCACTGCCCGCTCCTTCCCACTGCCTTATGTTGAGGCGTTTGTATTTGCAGAATGAAGATGGACCAAATGACGATGTGCAGCATATTGGCATCACAGCCAAGAATGTCCCTGGTCAGGCCCAGGAAGCTGCGGAGAACCTTGGTGTTGAACTAGCTAGTTTACTTCTGAGCAAGGGAGCTAAGCATATCCTCAGCGTGGCAAGGCAGCTCAACGATGCCCGCTAAACGTGTGGTGCGATCGGCATAATTGCTACAACTCTAGCAAGTCTTTGCAGCTACACTTCCTTTGGAGGAAGGGATTTATTTAAAAGTTCGCACCAGTCTCATCTGATGCTTGGACACAAAAACTTGAAATACTAAGTTGACTAACTTGAGTAGGTTACGCTGTTCAGGGTTTTCATCCCTCTCTGCGTTTCTCTAAATTGCAGAGTGCCTCTGTGAAGTTTTTCAATGATTTTTGTAGCTAGGAAGTTAAAAAGAAAAAAAGTAAAAAAACCCCAAACCTGTAAGTGTTCTCCTGTTCCATTTAGGAACAATGCACTCATTATGGATTATAATCAGACTCGGCTGTGACGGTACTAATGTGCTGTACTGTGCTGACACTACTAAAGTACTTTCAGTAGTCGTTATTATTGGGAGCCTGTTCACTCATCAGAACGCAGAAGAGGATGACTGCTATTAGGTTTCTAATACTGGGTTCCTCATGGTAAAGTAGCACAGGTGCCATGTTCATCATAGGTCTCAGTTAAGGTAAGAAATTAAGCTTGCAGTTATCGGATGCAAATTTGTCAATTGGCCAGTAATAAATTAGGAAGCAAGTGGACAGCCAGTATAGTTTCCCTTGTACGCTTGTCTACAAGGGTTGTCTGAGACAGTCATTCATCTACATCACTGAGTCAATGGGGAGCTGAAGAGGAAGCCCAAATTTGGGCCATTGTGCCTTTCTCTGTAGGTGTTTGCCCTTTTACTGGCTCCTTGCACTCTCTACCGGGTCATTATCCTCTCGATGGGGCTCACGCGTTACAGTGCCTTGTAGAAACACTGAAACGGCACCTTACCGGGGTCCTGTTTTGGAAGTGAAGCATTGTTTATTCTCTATGCAACGTCCACTGAATGTAACAGACGATAAATACAGTTGAAGTATAAGCACCCCAGCGTAAGTGCAAGTCTTTACAGAGAGCTCTTCAGTTTTTCTGGCTGGATGTGAGCGGGCCGCTCCTTCACCGCTCCTTCGGCTGGCGCCCGGCTCCGCAGCGCCGCCCGGCGGCC